AATGTGGTTTTGATTTGCATTTCTCTGATGACCAGTGATGATGAGCATTTTTTCATATGTTTGTTGGCCTCCTGTAAGTCTTCTTTTGTAAAGTATCTGTTCATATCCTTTGCCCCTTTTTTGAATAGGCTTGTTTGTTTTTTTCTTGTAGATCTACTTTAGTTCTTTGTAAATTCTGAATATCAGCCCCTTGTCAGATGGGTAGGCTGCAAAAATTTTTTCCCATTCTGTTGGTTGCCGATTCACTCTACTGACTGTTTCTTTTGCCGTGCAGAAGCTGTGGAGTTTGATTAGGTCCCATTTGTCTATTTTGGCTTTTGTTGCCATTGCTTTTGGCGTTTTGGTCATGAAGTCCTTGCCTACACCTATGTCCTGAATGGTTTTGCCTAGATTTTCTTCTAAGGTTTTTATGGTATTAGGTCTGATGTTTAAGTCTTTAATCCATCTGGAGTTAATTTTGGTGTAAGGTGTCAGGAAGGGGTCCTGTTTCTGCTTTCTGCACATGGCTAGCCAGTTTTCCCAACACCATTTATTAAACAGGGATTCCTTTCCCCATTGCTTGTTTTTGTCCGGTTTGTCAAAGATCAGATGGTTGTGGGTATGTTGTATTTCCTCTGAGACCTCTGTTCTGTTCCATTGGTCTATATCTCTGTTTTGGTACCAGTACCATGCTGTTTTGATTACTGTAGCCTTGTAGTATAGTTTGAAGTCCGGTAGTGTGATGCCTCCTGCTTTGTTCTTTTTGCTTAGAATTGACTTGGCTATGCGGGCTCTCTTTTGGTTCCATATGAAGTTTAAGGTGTTTTTTTTTCCAGTTCTGTGAAGAAGGTCATTGGTAGCTTGATGGGAATAGCGTTGAATCTGTAAATTACTTTGGGCAGTATGGCCATTTTCACAATGTTGATTCTTCCTAACCATGAACATGGAATGTTTCTCCATCTGTTTGTATCCTCTCTTATTTCGTTGAGCAATGGCTTGTAGTTCTCCTTGAAGAGGTCCTTTACGTTCCTTGTTAGTTGTATTCCTAGGTACTTTATTCTCTTTGTAGCAATTGTGAATGGCAGTTCGTTCTTGATTTGGCTCTCTTGAAGTCTATTACTGGTGTATAGGAATGCTTGTGATTTTTGCACGTTGATTTTGTATCCTGAGACTTTGCTGAAGTTGTTTATCGGTTTCAGGAGATTTGGGGCTGAGATGATGGGGTCTTCCAGATATACAATCATGTCATCTGCAAATAGAGACAATTTGATTTCCTCCTTTCCAATTTGGATACCCTTTATTTCTTTTTCTTGCCTGATTGCTCTGGCTAGAACTTCCAGTACTATATTGAATAGGAGTGGCGAGAGAGGGCACCCTTGTCTAGTGCCAGATTTCAAAGGGAATGCTTCCAGTTTTTGCCCATTCAGTATGATATTGGCTGTTGGTTTGTCATAAATAGCTTTTATTGTTTTGAGATACGTTCCGTCAATACCTAGTTTATTGAGGGTTTTTAGCATAAAGGGTTGTTGAATTTTGTCAAAAGCCTTCTCTGCATCAATTGAGATAATCATGTGGTTTTTGTCTTTGGTTCTGTTTATGTGGTGAATTACGTTTATGGACTTGCGTATGTTGAACCAGCCTTGCATCCCCGGGATGAATCCTACTTGATCATGGTGGATGAGGTTTTTGATATGCTGTTGCAATCGGTTTGCCAGTATTTTATTGAAGATTTTTGCATCTATGTTCATCATGGATATTGGCCTGAAATTTTCTTTTCTTGTTGAGTCTCTGCTGGGTTTTGGTATCGGGATGATGTTTGTCTTGTAAAATGATTTGGGATTTTTAATATACCCAACTACAGAGCTTCTCAGGGTGTTCTTTGCAGTTGGGCTTTAATACCTTATGTAGGTCTGCCTCAAAACTAATTGTTGTTTATGTTAATCAGGTTTAGAAAATACTAAGTGTTCCTATAAAATAAACACACCACTTAGATGTGGACACTTCCTAAAAACAGGCAGTGCATGAGCACTGGTGAGGGGCATTGTGACTGCATTGAACACTTACGGCTGTGAGGTGAATGAAGTCTGTACTGGCTCCTAACCAGGAGCAGTACAGTAACATACAGTAACACAGTGTGCTACTTTGTACTGCGTAGATGTCCTGGACTCACACAGAAACTCAGGGCTATGGAGTAAAGGTAAATTTAAAATACCACAAGGGGGAGTCACAGACACATTGTCTGGGAGAGTGAAAGGAGCTTTATGAGTCCTGTTGTAATGCTTTTAGACACATTTATATATTAAGGGGCCAAAGTCACATTTTTTGCCAATTAGGTTCCTGATTATTCAGGAGTTATCAAGATTCTGCTACTCGCTGTAGTTAACAAACAGAAAGCAAACTAGTCTCTATGCTATCTCATGCTCTCAGGCAAAAATTCTCCATATTTGAACAACTACAAAAAACCTTGTCTCTGCTCCTCCATTCCCAGGGCGAGCTCAGTCTCTGGCAGCAAGCTTCCTGGGGTGAGTTTTCTTCTAGCAGAGTCCAGGGGGACAGGTAAGGAGTGGGAGGCAGGGAGTCCAGTTCAGGGACGGGGATACGGGGATGAAAAGTGAAGGGAGAGGGACGCGGCCCATGCTGAAGATTTCTCTCTGGTTTCTCAGAAGCTCCTGGGCCAAGACTGAGGGAGACACTGAGACAGAGCGCTTGGCACAGGAGGAGCGGGGTCAGGGCGGAGTCCCAGGGCCCAGGGGTGGCTCTCAGGGTCTCAGGTCCGGAAGGCGGTGTGTGGATTGGGAGGCGCAGCGTTGGGGATTCCCCATCTCCGCAGTTTCTCTTCCTCTCCCAACCTGTGTCGGGTTCTTCTTCCTGGATACTCATGACGCGTCCGCAGTTCCCACTCCCATTGGGTGCCGGGTTTCTAGAGAAGCCAATCAGCGTCGCCGCGGTCCCGGTTCCAAAGTCCCCAGTCACCCATGCGGCCTCAGATTCTCCCCAGATGCCGAGGATAGGGTCATGGCGCCCCGAACCCTCCTCCTGCTGCTCTCGGGGTCCCTGGCCCTGACCCTGACCCAGACCCGGGCGGGTGAGTGCGGGGTCGGGAGGGAAACGGCCTCTGAGGAGAGGAGTGAGGACCCCGCACGCCGGGCGGGGGCGCAGGACCCTATGAGTCGTGCCCGGAGGAGGGTCGGCGGGTCTCAGCCCCTCCTCGCCCCCAGGCTCCCACTCCACGAGGTATTTCGACATTTCCTTATCCCGACCCGGCCGCGGGGAGCCCCGCTGCCTCTCCGTGGGCTACGTGGACGACACGCAGTTCGTGAGGTTTGACAGCGACTCGGCGGTTCCGAGAGAGGAGCCGCGGGCGGCGTGGATGGAGAAGGAGGGGCCGGAGTATTGGGACCACAACACACGGAACCACAAGGTCCACGCACAGACTGACCGAGTGGGTCTGCGGACCCTGCGCGGCTACGACAACCTGAGAGAGGCTGGTGAGCGACCCCGGCCCGGGGCGCAGGTCCGGACCCCTCCTCATTTCCCACAGACGGCCCGGGTCGCCCTGAGTCTCTGGGTTCAAGATCCACCCCGCAGTTGCGGGACCCGCCCAGACCCTCAACCAGGGAGAAAGTCGGTCGCCTGTACCCGGTTTCATTTTCAGTTTAGGCAAAAATCCCCGCGGGTGGGGCGGGGGCGGGGCTCGGTGGCGGGGTGACCGCGGGGGCGGGGCCAGGGTCCCACACCCTCCAGGAGATGTGTGACTGCGACCTGGGGCCCGAAGGGCGCCTTCTCCACGGGTATCCCCAGTTCGCCTACGACGGCAAGGATTACCTCGCCCTGAACGAGGACCTGCGCTCCTGGACCCCCGCGGACCTGGCGGCTCAGATCACCCAGCGCAAGTGGGAGGCGGACAATGTGGCGGCGAAGATGAGCGCCTACCTGGAGGGCAGGTGCCTGGAGTGGATCCGCAGACACCTGGAGAACGGGAAGGAGACACTGGAGCGCGCGGGTACCAGGGGCAAGGGGGAACCTCCCTGATCTCCTGGAGACTCCCAGGCTGGCCTTGCAGAAGGAGGGAAGGAAAATGGGACCAACACTAGAATATCACCTGCACTCCGGTCCTGAGGGAGAGGAATCCCCCTGGGTTTCCAGATCCTGTACCAGACAGTGACTCTGAGGGCCGGCCCTGTTCTCTGATACAATTAAGGGTTGCAGTCTCTGAGGGAAAGGAGGGGAAGTCAATCCCTGGAATAATGATCAGGGGTTCCCTGTGACCCCGCAGCAGCGTTGGGAACCAGGATTTTTCCTCTCCTGCCTTGTCCTCTGCCTCACATTCAATGTGTGCAGGGGTCTGACGCCAGCTCCTCTGAGTCCCTTGGCCTCCACTCAGATCAGGACCAGAAGTCCCCGTTCCCCCTCAGAGATTAGAACTTTCCAAGGAACAGGACATTATCCCAGGTGCCTGTGTCCAGGATGGTGTCTGGGTTCTGTGCTCCCTTCCCCACCCCATGTGTCCTGACCGTTCTCAGGATGGGCACGTGGGAGCTGTTGGGATGTCCCATGAGAAATGCAAAGTGCCTGAATTTTCTGACTCTTCCCTACAGAGCCCCCCAAGACACACGTGACCCACCACCCCGTCTCTAACCACGAGGCCGCCCTGAGGTGCAGGGCCCTGGGCTTCTACCCTGCGGAGATCACACTGACCTGGAAGCAGGATGGGGAGGACCAGACCCAGGACATGGAGCTGGTAGAGACCAGGTCCACGGGGGATGGAACTTACCAGAAGTGGGCGGCTGTGGTGGTGCCTTCTGGAGAGGAACAGAGACACACTTGCCATGTGCAGCACGAGGGGCTGCCCGAGCCCCTCACCCTGATATGGGGTAAGGAGGGGATGGCGTGTCTTGTCTCTTAGGGAAAGCAGGAGCCCCTCTGCAGCCCTTCCACAGGGTCAAGCCTGGGGCCTGGGGGTCAGGGCCCCTCACCTTCTCCTCCTTTCCCAGAGCCGTCTTCCCAGCCCATCATCCCCATCGTGGGAATCGTTGCCGGCCTGGTTGTCCTTCGAGCTGTAGTCACTGGAGCTGTGGTCGCTGCTGTGATGTGGAGGAAGAAGAGCTCAGGTGAGGATGGGGTTAGGAGTGGGATCTGAGATTTCTTGTCCCACTGAGGGTTCCAAGCCCCAGGTAGAAGTGTGTCCTGCCTGGTTTCTGGGAAGCATCATCCACACTCATGAGCCGACCCAGCCTGGGCCCTGTGTGCCAGCACTTACTCTTGTGTAAAGCACCAGTGACAATGAAGGACAGATGTATCACCTTGATGATTGTGGTGATGGGGACCTGATTTCAGCAGTCACAGGGCACAAGGGAACGTCCCTGCTGAGGACAGTCCTTAGGGCAGTTGGTCCAGGACCCACACCTGCTTTCCTTGTTTTTCCCGATCCTTCCCTGAGTCTTTAGTCACACATTTCTGAAAACTTCTCTGGGTTCCAAGACTAGGAGGTTCCTCGAGGACCTCATGGCCCTGCCACCTTTCTGACCCCTCACAGGATATTTTCTTCCCACAGATAATAAAGGAGGAAGCTACTCTCAGGCTGCAAGTAAGTACGAAGGAGACTGATTCCTGAGATCGTTGGGATATTGTGGTCGGGACAGGGGGTGGCTATTGTGCTGAGTGGTCAGCATGGACCTCGTTGAAAATGTGACCTTTGAGTGAAGATTTGAGGGATGTCAGGAGCTGTCCACAAGGATGACTGGGAAAGCTCTTTTTAGGCAGGAACCTTCAGTGCAGATGCACTAGGGCAGGAAAGTGTCTGTGTTCCTGGAAGGAGGAAGCGGCCAGAAGGGCTGGGCAGAGAGAAACTGAAAGGAGGTCAGAGGTGTGGCCAGAGCAGGGAGGCCTGGAGGGTGTGGGAAGGGTTTTGACCTTTGCTCTGAATGACATGGAGAGTCAGAGGACAGTTTTGAAAAGGGGACATGGTAGGACTTGTGCTTTTTTTCTGTGCTGAAAACAGAATTGGGAGGTGGGAGACAAGTGATCCAGCAGGAATCAGTGGAGAAGGAGTGCAGTATTCCAGGATGGAGAGACTGGTTACCTTGACTGGGGTGTGAGCAGGGGAAATGGTGGTAAGTGATGGGATTCTGGATAAATTTGAAGATGGACTTCACAGCCCTTGCTAATGGATTGTATCTGTGGTGTGAGAAAGAAGAATCAAGGACACCCACAGAGTTGGACTGAGTGAGTAGAAGGGTGGAGCTGCTGTCAGTCAGATGGGGAGACTCTGGCAGGAGTATACGGAGGAGAGGGCATCGCAGGCGTTCAGTGGAGGAGACATCTACGAGGAGTACAGGTGAGGGGCCCGGATGCCTCTGCAGCCACAGCTTCACCATCCAGTTACTCTCCTGCTTCCACCCCGTGTGTCTCAGAGCCAGAGCACTGCTTCTCCCCTGGGCTGTCTGCAAGGTAGGTGGAAGTCAGGGAAGTTATGCTCTGCTGTTGGTTATAATAAGTCATGGATTATTGTGCTTTCTCAGATAATTAAATAAATAATAAGAGAAGTTGTAACTAGAACACTTACTCAGAAGACTGTGATAATGCAAACGTTTTTATTCATCTAAATTAGGCAACAGAGAAAAATAGTTGAGCCAAAAAGGCATAATATTAGAAAGCAGCAAATGACAATGTACAGACTTAAACCCAATGAGGTCAACAATGGCATTAAACATAATGGACTCACACACTCCAATGACAAGAGGATTAGTGCCGAGGCAGAAAAATAAGTCAATAAATAAATAACTAGGCTGTTTCCAAAAGCCATAATTTCAGTAGAAGGTACAGAAAAGCTGAAAGTAAAAGGATAGAAAATAAATACCAGACACACCTTCATGGAAACCACCCAGAGATGCCATTTACAAAAATTACAGGACATGGTTCTTGTGAGACACAGAGTCCATGTAGACAGCTCACAATGTCTTTACTTTTTCAGAGACAGGGTCTGTTGTCCAGGCTGAAATGCATTGGTGATATCACACCTCACTGTCACCTCAAACTCCTGGGCTCAGGCAATTCTCCTGCCTCAGCCCTCTGAGTAGCTAGGACTACAGGCGTGAGGCCCCCCAGCTGGCTAAAATGTCTAATTTTCTCACCTGATGTGGTGTGATCAAGGAAGCAATATCATGCTGTGTATTTGACTTGCAGTAAGAATACAACAAATATCAGGGGAATGAAGAAATTAAACCACTTAGTAGTTCAAGCCATGTCCACATTTACATTTTACAGACGAGGAACATGTCAAACAAGTAAAGTAAAATAAATATATTTACATCGTCCAGAGCAGAATCAAGAACACATTCCCTGTGCTGAAGGGATCAGAGCTCTACTGAGGTCATAGCAGGCATCATGAGTTGCTACTAGAATTGGAACTTATACATTTCAAGATATACTAAACAAAGGGTATGCAAGGAATAACTGAATGCAGAGATAAAGGAAGAAAATGATTTGTTTAAAAGATGGACAGAATCCTTCTTTTAAAGTGGCCTTATGTGGACCAAAGCATAAGGCCCACAGACCATCTCACAGATGAGATGAAGTGTCAGGTGGAAAAGTGCCTAAGTGCAGCTTCCAGACCCAAAGGAGACCTCAAAATCCTGGGATATTTTTAGTTGTCCTATGGGGATTAGTGGGAGGGGGTGAGTGGGGTGCTCCTGGCAGACCTCTCACGGTGCACAGGACAGCCCAGGCCAGAAGGGACTCTGTCCTAAATTGTTAATAGTGCTGCTGTTGAGAAATTTGCCCCAGAGGTAAGTGCTGTAATGTCCTCACCATTTCACAGATGAAGAAACTGAGGCACCAGGAGGGAAAGTGTCAGTAGGACCAGAGCTGCAGGTTGAATCCAGGCCACCTGACTGCAGGGTCTTGGCTCCCCTGATTAAGTCAGGCACCCAGGAGCCCACCACGAACAATCCCAGTTGTGCCTGACCTCATAGTCTGTGCACGCCCCCTGGTGTTGGCACTGGTCCTGTGGCTAAACAAGGCTTGAGGGAAAAGGGAAAAACAGGTATGGGTAGGGTGATATTTCTTCAGCCTTTCCAGATTTCAAGCTATAACTTACCCTCAAAAAAAAAAAATTATACCTTAATTATCTCTCCAACCCTGTTTTTCCCAGTCCCTGCCAGTTTGCTCCTTCGACTCCATCAACATCAGCACCTGCCAGATGCCCAACACCAACTGTGTGAAGAGTGAAAAGGCCCCAGAACTAAAGGACAAGACTAATTTCCATCCGAGCCATCCCTCCCCTCGCAGAGCTCTAGCTCCATGCTTGTAGTGCTTAGGCTCTTAACCTGGGGCCCTGAAACCCACCATCCCATGACACTGCATGCAGAAGTGATGTTACGTCCACATGTGACTTCCTTACAGGACATTGAATCGTAATATTAATCAGATCAGTAGGGACTCAAGACACCACTCTTCCCCCAACAGCTTGCGATCCTCTGAACTAAAGAAAGGGTAGATATCGAGGGACGCTCTAACTCCAAATCTTCTACCACTTCTAGTGAAGTTCTGACAAGAAGTGCAAGGTACTCAACCTGCTCTGGGGATACAGCAGGAAAGAGTGTTCATGGATTTCAAATTCCAGCAAAGAAATACCATTTTGGCAAAATATTCATGTCACTTCTCTAAGCCCCAGCCAGAAGCTCTAATAAACATCAAACAAAAACAAAAACAAAAACAAAAACAAAAACAATTTGCGCTCAGGTGAAACAACTGCAGCTGTAAAACTTTGTGAGACCTTCAGTTAGAAAGAAGGACAGTGAAATCAAGGGCTGCAGCAGAAAACCTCTACATCATATAGCGTTTTTCTCTTCATCATGAAGTTCTCCTGAAGGGACCTGCTCCCTTCAGCAATGCAGAGTGAGACATTTCTGTGTAGAAAGATAGAATCTCCTTGGATTCCTGATGTTGACACTACTCGCTGTTTGACTTTGTAGATGCCAACTTTACATTCAACATCTTTCAGTTAAATTTCTTACTCTTCCTAAGCAGAGAATTTGAAATTGTTACTGAAGCACAAAACCAGGGACTGGTTATGTGAGCTCTCACCTCACCCTGTGGCTCTTTTATGCAATAAGCATAGAGATGGTGGGCCAACAGAATGTGCAGCAAGGTGGACATCAACCCTCCATTTCAGCCTATGTTTGGCTTTTCTAGTGATGTTCTAATCTTTCTCCAGTCTTAGCATTTCAATATTTATAATTTTACTTGAATTTTATTTTATAGGAGGTCATATGCATTTATTTTTGCTGGGTTGTCAGTGAAAACCTTCTCAAAACAACTCTAGAGGAAAGACAAATAAATGCATGGTGCTCCCATGTATTAGTGCTCAGTGCATCTTACAAATGGATCGGCCCCACTCCAACACGTGGTGTTTTAGCAAATGGTGCTGGAAACCTGGATAGCCACATGCAAAAGAATGATACTAGAAAAATTCTTGCCCCTCTGTTACACCCTATACAAAAATTACATCAGAATGGCTTAAAGAACTGACCTTAAAAGTTAAACCTGTAAAACTCTTAAAAGAAAATGCTGAGGAAAATCTTAGGGACATTAGAATTGGTAGTGGTTTCTTGGCAGGTAACAAAAGCATAATAATAAAAGAAAAATGGCAAATTAAACTATATCAAAATGTAAAAACCTTTTTACATCACTGGACAGATAAGAGAGTGAAAAGAAAATGCACAGAATAGGAAGAAATATTTGCCAATGACATATCTGATAAAGAATTAATATCCAGACTACATAAAGAACTACAACTTAACAATAGCAAAGCAATCACATTCAAAAATGGGTAAAATGCATGAATAGACAATTCTCCAGAGAAGATACACAATAAGGACATAAAAATAAGGAATTCCAAGAAAGACATAACAAAATGCTCAGCTTCACTAGTCCAAGTACTGGAGAGGATGTGGAGGAAACGGAACACTGTGCACTGCTGGTGAGAGTGAGCAATGGTACAGCCACCACATGAAACAGTGTGATGCTGCCTCAAGAAAGTAAAAATAGAATTTCCACATGACCCAACAATTCCACTTTTTGGCATATACCCTCAAACATTTAAAGCAGGTATACACACAGATGATTGTACACTGATGCTCGTAGCAGCATTATTCCCAAAAACCAAAAGGTGGATGCAACCCAAATGTCCACCAGAGGATGACTGAATAAACAAAATGTGGTGCACATACGCCTGGAATATTATTCAGCCTTAAAAGTGAATAATACCTGGATTGGATGGAACCTTGAAAACAGTCTAAGTGAAATAAGCCAGAAAAAGACAAATAAGATATTTCACTTATATGAGGCAGCTAAAATAAGCAAATTAATGGAAACAGAAAGTAGAGTACAGGTTACCAGGGGCTGAGGGTAGGAACAATGGGCAGCTGTCATTTAATGGGTACAGTTTCTGTTGGGATGATGAAAATGCTCTGGAAATGCATATTGGTGTTTTTGTAACCACCACCAATTGTAAATGTGCTCAACGCCAATGAATTGTACACTGAAAAAATTGTTAGAAGGTAAATTGTATGGTACGCATGTTTTACCAGAATTTAATATATATATATCAACACTAAATCCAATTACTTCTTACTCCTCTGCCGCTTCCACACCAAAACCATCCTCTCTAGGATAGTAAACTGAAAGGGCCTTTCAGCTAGGCTGCCTAGTGCCTCTCATGCCCATGGTCCAATGCCAATACAACAGACTAGTGTGCATTTCAAATGGCAATTCGAGCATATCCTATGAACACTCCAACCCCTTCCCTTCTTGGGCACAGTGAAACCCCACTTTCCCACCATTTCCTATGAGCTCCTTATCACAGGGCCCCTCTGGCCACTTTGGCCTCATCTCACCACTCTCAGCCCAGCTCACTCGATTCCACTCACACCAGCCTCTTGTCTGCTCTGTCCTGTCTCTGCCACCTGCCCCTGCTGTGACTCCCACATGCACCTGCTCTCTAGGGATCCACATGGCTCACTCCTCACACCATTAATGTCTCTTTCCAAATGTCACATGGTCAAGTTTTAGGAAAGGTCTTGTCCAGTGACCTTCTCTGAAATCTATCCCCTGCCATTTCCACCACCGCCACCATCAATCTTCCAGCTTAGGCATATATTGCTCTATGGCAATTATCACTGATACTATGACAGATTTTACTAGTTTATTATCTGTTTTTTCTTTAGGATTACCAAGAAAGAAAGAACCAATAGCATAGCACAGATAGATGATAGGTAGATAAATAGATAGATAGATTAGAGAGGATTTATTGGGCTAATTGGCTCACACCATTATAGAGGTTGAGAAGTCCCACGACAGACTGTCTGCAAGCTGGAGAACTAGAAAAGCCAGTAGCGGAGCTCAGTCCAAGGCCAAAGGCCAAAGGAACCAGAAGAGGGAGCAGGAGGATAAAGGAGCACACTGGTGCAAGACTCAGAGTCTAAAGACCATCAAATCTGGAGTTTTGATGTCCAAGGCAGGAGAAGAAGGTTGTCTCAGCTGCGGAGAGACACAAGAGACAGAGAAAGAGTGAAAGCGAAAGCGAGAGCGAGAGCGAGAGGGGGAGAGAGAGAGAGAGAGAGAGAGAGAGAGAGGGAGAGAGAGAGAGAAAGAGATAGAGAGGGGCAGAGAGAAATTTGCCTTCTATCTGCCTTTCTGTTCTATCTGGACCCCAAGGTGATTGGATTGCTGCTGCCCACAGTGAGGGAGGATATTCTTCACTAAGTCCACCCACTCACATGCCAATCATTTCCAGAAACACCCTCACAGACACTGATTTGATACTTACCATTTGAATAGTCTGTAATTTATTTTTTGAGACAGGGGCTCACTGGCTGGAGTACAGTGGTGCTCATGGCTCACTGCAGCCTGAATCTTCAGGCGTAAGCAATCCTTCCACACCAGCCACCTGAGTAGTTGGGACTACAGGCGTGCACCACCAAGTCCGACTAATTATTTGGTATTTTTTGTAGACGTAGGGTTTCTCCATGTTGTCCAGGCTGGTCTCAAACTCGTGGGCTCAAGCAATCTGCCTGCCTCAGCCTCTCAAAGTGTTGAGAGTACAGGTACGAGCCACCATGCCCAGCCTGAGTAGTCTGAGAATTTTTAAAATCACAACCACAAAAGAATCCTTATGTACAAACATTATTGCCAAAATATTACTTATCAAAAGAAAAAAATGAAAGCAGAGTGATCTAAAAGAACCCTGGCCACTTCTTGTTAAAGATGGGATGCAGCTTGTAAAAGTCTGTAAACTCTATGCAGACTTTATGACACAGAAATCGACTTGCGTAACAATACATTCAAAAAGCAACATTCAAAATAACTTACCGCCACTCTGGGAGGCCTATGTGGGTGGATCACTTGGGGTAAGGTGTTCAAGACCAGCCTGGCGAACAAGTGAAACCACATCTCTACTAAAAACACAAAATTAGCCAGGCGTGGTAGTGCATGTCTGTAATTGCAGCTATTCGAGTGGCTGAGGCAGGAGAATCACTTGAACCTGGAATGCAGAGGTTGCAGTGAGTCAAGATCATGCCACTGAACTCCAGGCCTTGCAGACAGGAGTGAGACTCCTTAAAAAAAAAAGATAACCCACAACTTATGAATGCAACTGTGTACAACGAAAGCATATGTAAACATATATAAATAGAAAGCAACAGAATGGAAATCAGCACCACTGCAAAAGACAACTCCAGGGACCACATTCACATCGCATTCCAGGAAGCTTCAATGATGTAACAGCAGTGATTCTTTTGAGGGGATGCCTGGGTGATATTTCTTTCTTGTGTACATTTTATTTTCTTTAAAATTCAAGCAGGCATTGATCTGTGCATTTTAAAGTTGTCTGTAGTCAAATTTTCACATTTCTAATGTAGAAACATATATTTTTAACATTCAAAATAAAACATTTGAAGTAAAATAACAATGAAAAGTGGCAGAACACTGTGGCGGGCACCTAGAGTCCCAGCTACTCAGGAGGCTGAGGTGGGAGAATTGCTTGAGCTCAGGAGTTTGAGGCTATAATCACACCTGTGAATAGTGACTGCTCTCTAGCCTGGCAACATAGTGAGACCTCATCTTGAAAATAATAATAATAATAAAAGGAATTCAGACCTCCTTCCAATCTCAGCCTAAAACATATTTCTCATTTGAAGTTTACATGGCAGAAATGCCTACTGATGTCTCCTCCAGAGAGCAAAAAAATATTCTTCCTCTACAATCCATGACTTATCCTTCTCTTACAGTGTTCACTTGAGCAATGAAGTCAACACTAAAAATATCAGTTTATGGAATACTGATTATCTCATCTATAGGTATATAAATTATAAGTATGTACATATACATTATATTATAATATATAGATATTGATATAGATAGATATAGATATGTAATTACCAGCACACCTGAGAGAGTGAGATGAGTTTTTCCTTCCACAGTTGAAAATCTGAGTCCCTGAGAACTTCGGGGTTTTTGGTCTGGGTTCACTGAATATGTTGGCCTTAAGAATTAGGAGGCACTCAGCTTCCTCTAGGCTCACCTGGGTGTGAGCCACACCAGTGGAGGCTCCACAACAGTAGGAAGAGCAACCGAAAACCCTGGAAGCTTCACACTTGTAATGGTCCATGTTCAGTGGAATGCAGCTGAA